CTTTTTTTGATCTTTATTTAATTTTTTGATCTTTATATTTTTATCTAATTTTCTTCCCTCTCGACTCTCTCTCCGTGTCTGTCTCTGTCTTTTTGTCCGGGGCCTGACAGTATACAATTGACATGGCACCTAAAAGAACTTCAGGTGCGCGTGTAATTGATAGCTGCTTATCGGTTTTAATAATGGTATTTTTAATATTCAAGTAAAAATTGTCTACAATAGTGTACGCTTCCCTCGCCGCGCGCTTTAGAGATAGCAACGCCTTTGCAGATTCGCATTGAATAAGACGAGACTGAGACGAACAGTGGGCCTGTGAAGACGYCCAAAATATATCCATGATTGCTGCAATCTCACCGTTTGTTACCTGACAACAACGCAAAAGGACCACTCGCGATGGTAGACGGAACGAGTAAGTCTCATAACCGTCCAAAACACTACGCGGGTCGAATACGGCATCTCGTCTGACCAGTTCTGAGCCGTTGTTATCTAATGGTCCTTCAGATTCGACTTACTAGGGTTCCTAACGGAGACTACTTTGTGAAAGTTTTATTAATTCAATTGTACTGCGGGTCTCTTTCTTTTTCGGTTYTTATTAGTGCCGCCTATTGTGGGGCTTGTAGGCCTCGCCATTGAATCAGCTTTTCGGCACTGAATTAAAGCAGGTACCCCATTGAGGTGAGGATTACTTATTACTTGAAATATTAAACATCAGCAAGMACTACACCCTGGTATTGCTGAACTAAGAGCTGGAGGTAAGTGGAGCGGTAGGGTCACTGCTGACAGTTTTAATTCCTACATAGGAATCAGGTATGATCGATGACGGGTCATTTTCCTTGAAATCTAGGCTCATTTTAATTTCATACACTATGAAATGACATTTAAAATCGTTTAGAGTCARTTTTATTGTGTATTCTTTTACACAAGATAAAAGCAGCCATTAACTGCAACAAATTTCTGTTACGACWTGCACAGGCGTAAGGAAACTAATCTATCATAACTGGGTTAAAAGGTTGATAGGGAATTGATGACGAACTTTTTAAAATGTAAGCTATAAAGTTAAAGTTTAGCATAATTATGTATGTTGTAATTACAATATATTTTTCATTTTACGAAAGTAAGCCACGAACGACGGAAATTTACCCCGAGCTCCCGAGGATGGTGACTTCGTCAAATGCGAAACTTTTTGGCACTGAAAATACCCAGCTGGTCCGCGAAAAAGTAAAAGGTTTAATGCATACCAGTTAGGTTTTGTATACCATTCCATGGCCTTATGAGCTCGTTATATTCGATTATAACCTAAAACAATATCTTTTATTCATTTTCGTACATTTTCGGAATCACTTTGAAGATGAGTTTTGCAGCTATTTTTTCAGGATTTCTTATAGAATAAGGAGAAATATGAAATTTGCTTAAATGATAGCTTCATTAAATATTGATCACTTACTGAGTTAATAAGAACGATTACAAACACGCAAAAAGAAAAAAAAACTAGGCGATAAATGACGTAAAAATATATTAAACGTTTTCATTAGATATTTTTTTAGCGGTAATCAAGTGTGCGCAGTGCTATCGTATCACAGAACGACATTTTTAAGACATAGAAACCGAGTTTAAGACTTTTAAAAGTTTTTTTTACATGCATATCATATCTTCCCTGCAGATATTAATTTGCACAATTTTAATAGAACGACATTTTTAATACATAGAAACCGAGTTTAAGACTTTTAAAAGTTTTTTTTTTACATGTATATCATATCTTCCCTGCAGATATTAATTTGCACAATTTTAATAGGTGTATGCTCTTTGTAAGTTCAGTCGTTGAAATTGAATAACTACCATTATTTATTAATTTTTTTAATAAAAATGCCTGTTTGTAGACTTACCGAATTTTACCTTATAGTCTAAATTTACCCTGGGTCAATAAAAATAATCTCAATGAGCTTATTGGGTCCGAAATAACAGTGTGAATATTGTTTATCACTTGAGAAGACATTATGTCAAAAATTTAAGTAAAAAATAATCTTTTTATTAAGTAGTTCAGTTTCTTAAAATCATTTWTTTTTCAGGCTTSGTAACCATGGTTTTGATTTACGTCATCGCGCTTACATTCGTTACTAYGGTAATATCAACGCAAGATACGTGTCCATTTGTAAGATACACTGGMTCATTTCATGACGACGACCACGTGAAAGACCACGCCCTYRTCGGGTTTTCTTACAAGAATGTCACAGTTGCCAGTGACCAAGAGTGCTTTAGTRTCTGTGTCATGGACTGCAGGTGTTTGTCTTATCAAGTGTCCGGCACACGTTGTGAAGTGATGGACGAGGACAGACACACGGTGCCGGCAGGTAGCTTTGTGTCCACACCTGGATACAAGTACTTTGGTCTCAAACAAAAGTTTAAATCTCAGGTGAACAATAAGTAATACTTCTCTCAAACGACGTGCACACTGTCAACATTTTTTGTGGTTACTCTTGTCTTAAGGCGTACAATCACTATGTTATCTTGCATGATAAATGTAAGCAAGTAATTGTTTTATTGCAGCCCATCGCGAGTTCTTGTGGTAGTCAGTGTATGAATGGTTGCTGTCGACTGATCAAATGCCTTAATGGCGGAACGTGCCGAGAAAAGTGCAGCGACGTCAAGCGTAAGTTCGTGTGTCAATGTCATCCCGCTTACAAAGGAAGACTTTGTGAGACTAAGAAGCCCTCAAGCTGTGCAGAGCTTGCCATGCTTCGTAAGCCATCGGGAATCCATTCGATCACTCTCCCTTCAGGACAAAGTCTCAAGGTTTACTGTGACTTCAAMTCCGAATCTGGTTTTGTCTGGACTTTGATAGAATCATTTGTTTATGAGGAACACCTACAGTTCCAGAACAAACCATTCACGGTAGACTTCCCAGTCAACCAAGGCAACCCTGACTGGAAAGAATACCGTATGTCACACAACCACATGCTGCATATTAAAAGTCACGCAACGCTATGGAGAGCGACCTGCAGGTACGATACTGATGGATTCCAGAAACGTGACTACATGACAGGGTTGTTGTCTCAGACTGATATATTTGTAACSACAAGTAAAACTAGTTGTCGAAGACTACGATACATAAACATACGTGGTCATTCTTGTACCGATTGTACGTCACATTTTAACCAATWCCCCACGCGTCACCCCTACGTGGACAGCCACTTTGGCAGGGAAATTGGCTGTGAATGGGATGCCAGTCCAGGAAGTGTTTATGGGAAGACAACATATGGTAGCAGTTGGGACGACAATTTTGGTTTTTACATGGTAGTAAACAGGAATCACCGCTGTACCTCGTCATCGTCGTCTACCACGCAGTGGTGGCTGGGAACTGAAGTCTGAATGTCCACTTATTGGTTCGGCTCAACGAAGGGCGTGGTGGGTGCGACCAATGAAGGGCGGTCTGYTATCTTCCTAAGAACAATATACGAATAAGCTTAAGTCGCTGTCAATACTTTAACATTTTAGTTAATGATTAATTAATAAGATAAATTTAAATCTAAATCCGGGTTTTCAATGTCTCAACAAATAAAAACCTCAGACAGAGCTTCATGTTAAATTCAGTGTGCACCACGTGACTTGTAAATACTGCGTATCCACGTTTAGTTTGACAAACGTCGAAACATCGCTAACTGTTTTCAGTCTCTCCTCATTTTTACGGTGTCAGATTTATCTTTATTACAACAATCGATGAAAGTACACCATAGGTAATAGAAATCTCTTAACTACGAATAAAACAATTTTAGAGACTTATCATAGTATAAAGAGAGTGTTGTAAGGTTAAATTAGAATTAAGCGATTTTAAAAAACTGTTTGTATCTTCTTGATTTGATAATGATCCATCTAAAGCTGTTAAAAATGTTCATATTTGATACTAATATCCAATTATTTAACTTTGATTTACAATTAAAATGTGTCATATCTTCACCTTGTTGACCAATGATCAAGAAAATCTCCGTTACCAATAGCAACAAGACCTGTATCACACAACAATTCCAACCATAGGAATTTTTAACAACAAAAATATGGAGGGCGAACTAACTTGCCCGATCTGTCTCGAACTTTTCAAGCGACCGATTGTCCTACCTTGTTCACAYAACCTGTGCACAAACTGCGCAAGAAGATTGCTTGAGCCACGCGGCTCGTCGAAAGCATGGGTGGACTGGGCTGTGAAAAACAGAGAGAAAAACTACAAATCTCACTTGGAACCCGACGTCAAGTGCCCATCATGTCGGCAAAAGATCCCTGTAGACCCAAGAGGAGTAGATGCTTTGCCGAGGAATTTGATTTTAGAGAATGTTATYGAACGGTTCAAAGAAGAGCGACAGCCAGTGGCAGGTGAGTTAGTTGATCACTGTAATCAATATTATATAAGCTTAAAATACAGTCTGTTAACATTGTTATCGATATATACCATATCTTAAACATTTGTTAATGAGTAACAGCTTTAAAAAATTTTTCATAACTACATTAAAACGGAAATTATCGACAAGGTTTCGTTTTCGACTGTTTTAGCGATTTATTCAGTACAAGGAATGGTTGTTTAGTGAATTGGTGTAAAATTTTARAAAAATGATAACCTAATTTTAAGACACTTTTAAAATTGTTATTATTTATAATTGTGATGCTAATTATTAAAATATTATCAATAATTCAGTCCATTGGATTTAGAAAAAGTATTCGATAACAATGGATGGTACCTCTACACGGTGCACCTGCTATCGTTACAAAATGAACTTGGTCGAAATTACGCAATGGCAATAAAGATGCATATACAACAATCTGAAGAAACTACGATCGGTTTCCATCCACACTACAACTGACTATAGTGAATAATATTGAAATCTCTGCGTAAAATAGCAAATCATAGTATATAGTTACAATACTATGGCTCAATGGTCATAATTCATGCATATTGTAGTTACAACTGCTGTTATATGATTTATATCATTATCATTCCTTGAATACAGCAATTACTAACCGATCATCCTATGCCAGTTATATAGATGCCAAATATACTTATAAAAAAGTACTTATATAAATCTCTAATATATATATGTCGGTTTGTCACACTCACTATGCAACAATGCAAGCATGAGAAACAAGAAAGTTAGTGGTTAAGAGTGAAAGTTAGTGGTTAAGAGAGGGACTTATTACATCTTAATCCCAATCGCCCAATCTGAAATATAGTTTTATATTTTCAAATCTACTTATAGCATCTCAGAATACCGAACCAATACTGTGTCAGTTCTGTGAAGACTACGCCGCGCAAACTGCTACGTGTATGTGTAAAGAATGTACCTTTACATACTGTGGGACATGTTTCGATACGTACCATCCAATGAAGGGYCCCTTRTCACACCACACAATAGGACCCCCTGAAAAGAAGCCCCAAAAATCAAARGACAAGAATGCAACGTGCAATGAGCATGACAAAGAAATCATGACTCTTTACTGCCACAARTGCAGCAAAGCAGTGTGTTATATGTGTAAAGAGTTTGGTGAACATAAACAACATCGTGTTGAACTTCTGGATGCTGTGTTTAGGAAAACGAAGGTAACTCGACGATCTTACGCTGTATTCCGACTTCTGTTGAACAAAATCTCAGTTAAAAGTTTTTTTTTAGGATGATTTAACAAGGACACTTGGACATCTTATGAAGAACAATAACTCAGGACACAAACTKATAGAATCCTTTGAAACCATGTGTGCCGTCGCCAAGGTGATTGACATTTCYATTTCTTCATCCATTCATTTTGTCAAATCATTCACATTTTCCACATTTCTCATTTTCAACCAGAAATCAGGGAATGATGTGGAAGCACACGTTAAGAAGGAATGCGATGCGCTTTTAGTCATTATAGAGAAGAAAAAAGCTGAACTACTTGACAATATCAACTCTGCKTACAACGATAAACTCAGCGAACTTCATGACACAATACGACATTGTGATAAAACATTACAGCAGTCACTGGGTCTTGTGGAGTTTTCACAAGAAGCGCTGAAGGAAGAGAATCCTGTAACATTTCTGCAGGTAAAAAACATGAAAAGTATAGCAGATTTCTTCTTCCAATATGAATTTTCACACTAAGATGCTCGTTTTTCCTCTTATAGACGTCAAGTGCCTTGAAAACAAGGTAGGAAAGAGTTGCATTTMGAGAAATAAATGAATATATTAATGTGTAGTGTATCTATAACGATGAAGCGTCGAATCGACTTACGTTGCCTTTAGAAATGTMTTCTCGTCCATGCCATCGCAATAATTAGCGAGTTCATGCGTGGATGTTAAGTCAGGGAAGTGCAGTGTTTTAGTGTAGTTTTTCTGACAGGATGAGTCTGATGTTGGATGCCGTCAAAGCACTTCCACCCGTGTCAACTATCATCCCAACATTTGACCACATGGCCGTGGATACATCATGGGAAAGAAAAATGCTCAAGAAACTTACTTGGCTACAGGAACCAGGTATACATAGACCTGTTCTGAAATACAAAAACATGGTGCATTGTGGTCTAGCTTCAGTACAAACAATGCCCGTATTTACAAGCATGAACAATGATGTTTGTACATCCAGACCACAATTCAATGCAACTGCTATCTCAGAAAAGGTCTATTGTGCGCAAGAGTTTTCACAAATATAAGGAAGATTTTACAGGTAGCCCATCGAGTCCATTGTTCCATCCACAGGAAGCCCGTCATTTATCCAAGCCCAATGCAAAGTCAAGAACCGATCGATTTTCTTGGTATGGTGTCAACCACACAGTGCGGTGGATGCCTATCATCTAGAGGCAGAAGTCATCAACCCCCCACTCTACCCTGGAGGGGAGGAGTTTATTGATGACATTCAGGTAAATACTGGAACAAACACCCGGTACGTGGTAGAGTGTAGCCGATACAATGCCAAGGTTGTTGCCCGGGTAAAGGCGTCRAATCGCGCAGGCGATGGTCCGTTTGGACAAGAGATTACTCTAGTTGCAAGTAAAGGTAAGAATTCAGTCAATTCAATACCAAATCGCTACTCAGTAGGGTAGCCACGTTTACACTTGCTACGACTACTCGATACTGAGTGAGGAAAACCGCCGTATATGGTGGAAGCCAACGTAGAAAAGAACACAAATTCAGCTAAGATATCTTCTATTCTCGAGCCCTGAATGCAATTTCTAGCAGACCACAGAGGCGAGAGGAGAGCTGTAAAACATAAAACACGACATTGCTATCTGCTTTTGTGCGAGTCAAGTTCAAAAACGTTCACAAACGTGTTWTAGTAGTTAGTATGTCATGTACAGGAGTGAAGWAAGAAAGAGGAAAMAGAGTCGTCAATGTTACAATGCTGACACTTATTTCTTGTCGTTCAAGGAGTTCACTTCAAACTGGATCCATCTTCGTCTCCTCATCGCGAGTTAGCGTTCTCGCGTGATTTTACCATGGCTAAACTTACGGGTCGAGTAAGTTCCACAGTACTGGGTGATGTCACACTACGTAATGGCCGCCATTACTGGAAGGTTCGCGTTGATCAGTTCTCAGGGTCCAATAATGGCGGTTATATTGCCGTGGGTGTGGCTGACAGAGCTGAGCAAGGACGAATATTGGGTAGGTTGAGTGCCACCATTACATGCCATTATAACATTTTAAATACCTGCTATAAGAAATTTATGACCCCATTTTTTATCTTTAGGTGACTTTGACGAATCGTTCGCACTTCAAATATACGAGAATACCACAATGTGGTGTGAAAACAACAACCAACGACTACAAATCAAACAGAAAACCAAGGAATTCAAAGGCTGCAACATCGCGATCTTACTTGATCTTGACGAATCCACAATGTGCATTTATCTGAACGGCAAACTTCAAACTGACCAATCGCGTCCCAAAGGACCTTCTTTTACAGGTGTCAAAGGGGACTTTCGTCCTGCACTTTGCCTTTTTGGCTCCTCAGTTCAAACGAGCATTCTTTCTGGTTTAGAAGTTCCTACCAAGCCTCCAGGTATTGCTGTCATTAACCTTGAAGATTGCTCAGTGGACAATACAAAAATTAGCCTTGCGTGGACTCCCCCGGAAAACTGCAACGTTGATTGTTACATACTGGAGGCAGATGTCTTAAACCGGGAAGGGGACATTCATCAAGAACGAAATTTCACCAAAGTAAGGACTTTGACTCATTGCAACTTCCTTCACTGATATGTAGCAGAATAAAAACTGAACTAAAGTCATTTATTTGTAGGTTTATCAAGGTCCAAGATGCAAATACACTATCCGTGGCTTGGAATACAATGTCACCGTCCTTGCACGTGTCATTGCAGTAAATACTGCTGGGCAAGGTGAACCAAGTGAAGAAGTTTCTCTCTCTACACAAAGAGGTATAGATTGACATCCTTAAATACTGCAATAACGTTCTGTATTGCATCGGTTGCATGAAAAATTGTGATTTACTAGGAAGGCCTTGTATCATGAGAGATAACTAACCCTCTTTATTTGCACGGTGAACCTTAAGCAAAAAAAAACATTGGTTTCTGATATACCAATGGTTCACTGATTGCTGTTATAAATCACCAATCTTAGAAAGATTCATTTATACCTTGTGCTGTCTTCAGGTGCAATATTCAAGCTCGATCCAGAAACAATTCACGAAACTCTCAGCTTGACACGTGGAGGGAAAACTGTCCAGCAAAACGTCGCCACACACGCAAACATCTTCGGAGACGCATTATTCATTGATGGATGTCACTACTGGAGGGTGGAGCTACAAAGTTTTAGCTCAGAAAACGGATTCATAGCAATTGGTATGATCCAAAATTTCAAACAATGAAACTGAAAAATAAAGTTTGTAAGGCAAATCAGTTCTTCTGAAAGTGATGCATACAGCAGTCAATCTCTGGTGCAATTTTAACATATAGTTATTTATCGTAGTCAGTCGTCCATTTTTTTGGTACGGAGCAATGTTTTTGGCGAAAATCGTTGAGAAGTTTTCTCTTCCTCAAAACACTGTCAATATAAAGCGCAAAGCTTAATGAACGTGTAACATCGTACGGCTGGTTTCAGACTCACTATATTTGAATGCAGGTGTGGCAAGAAAGCCGTCCCAAGGAATCATTCTAGGAAACGACAAAAACTCTTTTGCTCTCCAAGTTTTCGCTGGGACGTCAGTACGTACAGAGCACTCAAAGAACAAGATCCAGATCAAAAGAAAAGCAGCAGAAATCAATGGGAGCAGCTTTGGTGTTCTTTTAGATCTCAACAAGGAGATTTTAAACGTTTATCTCAACGGAGAACTCCAGGTACGGAGTACGTCATCAAAGGGGCCCAGCTTCAAGGGGCTTTCTGGAATGTTCTGTGCGGGCCTTTGCCTCTATGGTTCCAACGTAAAGATGAGCCTTGTTACTGGAATTGAAACACCTCCACCGCCAGGTTTGTCATTCACCTGTACAAGATATAAAGGGCCTGAAGTGCTATAGAAATATAAATCAATAATCATATACCATTCCTTTCCAGACCCACCCACATTCAACAAGGCAGTCTGCAAGGTWGATAACACCACTGTCCATGTTGCCTGGCATGCGCCTAAGACCAAGTGCTCCATTGACTACTTTATATTGGAAGTGGACGTTGTCAAAGCRGCCGAATTTACTTCCCGGAAGAAAAAAGATCGCAAGTTCAAACGCGTTTATGAAGGGCCATTGCGTGAGCATACAATGTACAGTGTGTCATACGATATGAAAATYATCGCACGTTTATGCGGTGTCAACATGGCTGGAGAAGGAAATGTCAGCGATGAGATGGTGCTGTCCACGCCTAAGGGTATGTCACATGAAAAAAATTCGACAGTTTKCTCCCCGTTATTTCAATTTCCCATTCAAAWTTTAGTGGCCAATTTRACACACAAAAATCAGTCTATACTAAAMTTTTCGCTAAATTCTGTGTCCATTTTTTCGTTATTATTTTATCAAATCCGCTATACAGTAAAAACCAGAAAGTATCAGGTCTTATTTCAACCCTCTTAGACCCTCATATAATATTTTCTGTCTAATAGTCTATTATTGATCATGTTTGACTTGGTTATTCTGCAATAATTTCAGGATTGTATTTCCAACTCGACCCATCGACTGCCAATCACGACCTTGAAATCACCAACAATAACTTGACGGTGTCTCTCAAAAGTCCGATGTACACTTTTATTCTTGGAAATGTCAAACTAACTACAGGCTGTCACTATTGGAGGGTTCACGTAGATGTATTTAACAGCCCAAACCAACTTTCTATCATTGGTATGTAGTGGTATGCATGTTGGGTTTCCTGTCTCTAAAATGGCTGAGAAGGAGACCTTGGTATGAGAGTGCTGTGGGTGAATATATCCTTGAAAAGCCAATATATAATTGTCATTACTGCAATAACAATTCACGAAATGCAGTTGCCATTTGCCATAACTGTATAGAATTTTGACAGTACTAATAATTCTTTCATCATGATGCTGTTTCATTTCTCAGGAGTTGGGATAGCACGTGGTATCATTGATGATCCCATTCTTGGCGAGGATTCACACTCCTATGCAGTTCAACTCAATGAACATCAAACGACAACTTGCATCAACACCAAGAATAGAGTCCAAGTCAAGAAAACCTCCAAGGAAATGACAAATAGTAATGTAGGAGTGCTTCTAAACCTAGATGAACGACTACTCAACATTTATTTCAATGGTAATAGCTCCAAAACTCTGAATACAAAATGCATTTTTGTAGGCATTTTTGTAGGCATTTTATTAGTATTCAACCTGGGCAGATCTAGTATTTTCTTCATAGAGGGGCGCAGTGTCTCAAGGGAAGGGACCAGTGTGTAATAATAGCCATATACATTATGACCTAACTTCACTACAACTACCAGAGAACCTTGCRCATTTTCATTGTTATTCAGYAATTACAAAAGAAAGTTGGCAAAGCGTTCTGGTAGTTGTAGTAAATGATKCCATAATGCAAATCGGCTACTGGGGGTGKATCCAGGAATTTAGGGAAATGGGGCCAGAACATTTTACAATCACTCAATACGAGAGCCATTTGATTCAGCTTGTTTTCAGCAGCTGTTATGAGGCTCAAACAAGCCACAAGCAAGCRGARACTAATGGCCTCTATGGAAGTCTGAACAATTCTRTTGATTTGAAGAGCCAAATGAAATGTTGCTGTGCCWTTGACAGMATTGTACTTTTCATTTCAATAGGCAAACTACTGACAGACAACTCAAGRCCATCTGGACCAACTTTTGCTGGGATATCTGGCGATTTCTATCCAGCCTTAAGCCTGTATGGCACAAATGTCAAATTAACAATTCACACTGGAGAATCTTTTGAAGCCCAATCWTAAATTTCTTAACAAATCATCACAAGTCGGAGTAAAGCTTAAAATCAAAGATAACAAAATAGATGTTTTATGAAAGAACCAGCTCTCAAGACTAAATAATCAACAGATAGAGTTTGKTTTTGTTTTAACCAGATGACATAGTTTCTATTACATTATTAGTAATCAACATGTCAAAATTAATTTGAATTTTTGAATTGCAGAGCAAGACAAGTTGCGCTTTTTTCATTTTCTTTTAAGCAATATAAGTAAATTAATGTACATTACACCTGTAGGTAAGCCTTTACATGGCATTTGCCTGAAAAAAGCTGCAAGGACTAGGGAGGGTCATTGACTCGAGAACCTTTTAAAAGTAATTAAACAAATGAATAACACACTCAAAAGAACTCTCATGCAAGTCATTGATAGGAATCTCTTTATTGATAATTGTAAATTCTTGAATTACAAGATGAATTTKCCATTTGGCAGATAATAGGAATGTAATTAGACTTATACCCTTGAAGAATGAGATGGGAGAGGCTGATAGGATCAAGTAACTATAATGGCCATGTGTATGCTAGCATCAGAGATAGAGTTAACAACATTTATATTATTAAACATTGCTATCATATTAAATCAYCATCATTGTCTAAGTTACATCATGTTTACCTGAAATAGAACAAAACATTTGTTACACAAAAGAAGCTGTTGTAAATATTTCACAAATTAGTCATAATAAAATCAAAAAAAGATATGTGACTCATTCAAACATGTGACCAGGGAGGGGGTTTGTACAAAGGTGCCTTCATGTACGTTGGCAACTATCTATCTTTTTAATCTTAACTTGTTTAAAACACCCGTTTCTCTATTGATAAACCACTTTAATACTAGCACTTCAAATTTCTAAGAACAGCTAGCGGTTGCTAGAACACAGTACCAGATAACGTAACAAGGACGCCAAGGACAAAGGGCATTTAATATGGCGCTCAAATTTCCTATTGATGYACTTACCTCATGCTTCCTGGATTCACCTTTAGTATTTGAAGAAGTCCCTAAGTAGTTTTAAAAGATAAAATACAATTTATTATCAAGCACTATTCKTGTAGGCGCCGCAGATTTAGATTTTGCTTGTTGCGTGAAGCCACGTGTTCAGATAGCACTTCTCTCAACATGTTCGCTTTCTGCCCCGAAAGATGGTTGAATAAGAAGCAAATTTCATCATTTAACACATTAGAGTTAGAATAAATTTGGTAAATGTTTAGTTTGARTACCTGAAGCGCCATAMAGCATATATAGAAGCACYAAAATCTYTCAAAATTTACATGATATTTCCTTCTTAGCTCTTCACAGGCGCTCGAATGATCGATTATTAGCATGACATTGAGGCCGGTAATTTGAGCGCGATAAAATATGGACGTAGGGGAGAGGCCACAAGCAAAAAAWATATATAGCTTCAAATTTATACAGAAAAGTAGTTGTAAATTTATGGTAAGGATTTTCAGATGRCAATTTTAAGTATCAAATTTATCTACATATTTCATATTCTATTAACTTGCTGAAGAGTTCTATTTTTAATGAAAACAATGTACACACGTGTACCACTCCCTCGGGTTTTTGAATGAAAAACGCGGTCCACTACGTCATCAGGTCGAGGCTTTAAACAATACGCGCGGGAAAATCAATGCATAACAGACACAAAAGGTAGCTAAACTACCATTCAAACAAAGAGACTACCAGTTTTGAACTGATGGCGGACCTAAACACATTACCTGACTCTGTGATAGTCCATATTTTATCATTTTTACGATATCCAAACCTAGTTTCAACAAGCGGTGTTTGTAAAAGATGGCGAAGGTTGTGTTTTGATTCAAGTTTATGGCGAAAACTCTGGTTTTATCCGAGTCACGCATCAAAGGTTTCAAGAGAACTTGTGCGCAAACTTGTTCCAAGAAGGAGCAGTTACATCTTCAGTATTGATTTGGAGGGCTGTTCACAAATCAATGACGAATCGATCAAATTTCTCGYTAGACGTTGCCCAAATTTGAAGAAACTGTCGATCAAAACCTGTCATCTGGTAACAGACCAAGGGATCATTGCGATCGCACAAAATTGTTTCAAATTGTTGTCAGTGAAGTTCCCAATGGACAATGTTACTTCAAAAGGGCTGGTGGCCGTTGTAAAAAATAACCCKCACTTGAAAAGAATTTTTGCTTTTTCAAGAGCTGTAACACAGAAGTCTATGGACGCTATTTCRGCAAATTGTGCTGATTTAGAAACTTTGATTGTTTACGAATCTTGTTTGAAAGAGCACGAAAATAGCTCTATTGATGTTATTACGGACAATATGTTAATCACCCTGGCCAAAGGATGCGGAAAACTCAAAGAACTGACACTACGCTACAATCAAATACTTCTAAGTGATCTTTCTTTAGTGTGTTTGGCAAAAAAATGCAGACAGCTAGAGCAATTTGTRATTGACTATTGTGACCTTGACTACAAAATAACTGACATTGGTTTGATTGCATTAGCCAACTTCTGCAATGTCAAATGTTTGCATATATCAAATGGGCAGATATCCGACCACTCCTTACTAGCAATTTCTGAAAGAATACCAGACATTGGTGACCTTTCTTTGGAGTTTTCAAAAGTCAGTGACATTGGTGTGTTTAAACTGATGCAAAAGTGCCAAAAGCTTGAATCTTTAGTGATTCATAGTGCTGACAACCAAGACAGAAGAATCACTGACATTAGTGCCTACGCCATTGGTACCTACGCTTCAGAGGACTTTAGAATGCTTGGAATTGGGTTTGCAGATATATCAGACAGAGGGCTAAAATTTATCTGTGAAAACACGGACCTTTCCTCTCTTTCTGTTAGTGGATGCTCTAAGCTTTCATTTGTCGGGTTAAAGGCTTGTTTTGACGACCTTAGTGGGTTGATGAGCTTGGATATTTCTTTCACAGACATAATMCAGAATGACATGCACTTRCTAGAGGTTGGAGAGTCATTGCCGTGGTTGGATACCATAGACTTGACCGACTGCTTTGCAATCAGTAAAGAATGCATCAGAGTTTTCAAAGAAAAGTTTCCATTCTGCAAAGTCATAACATGAATAGAATGTTTATTCAATAAGTTATTATATCGTTTATTTAAACTCGGGTCTACCAACGAAAAACACTACTAAACTAAGAACTTTAACAAAATATAATTTAAACCGCAAACCAAAATTTTCAGCATTGATATACATAATTATCAGTTCTGTTCAATAATTAATTTGAATTTTCAATATAACAAGCTACAAACCAAAGATCAAAATATTCTGAATTATTTAATTCCTTATAGTGCAGTTTTGTACAATAAACATACTTAATAAATTTTTGAATTGAATCAAATCATTGAAGTAATTCTATAGGGTGACTCATAAAAGTRRAAGGTGGGTCAAATAGTCAGTTTTATGCGCTTGGTCTTAAAAATGGACATGAATCATTGATGACATGTTCTATCAAGTTGAACAATGAATATGCCTCACAATAATCGCTATATGCTATAGCGTAAAGTTCTTGACAATGGAAAGATCTCACTGTATCCAACCGACAACGCTTCAGAATTTTTCAGTTTTTCATTCACTCAAAGAAACCGCTAAAATACGTTAACAATAAAAAACCAGTATTTCGAAAGTACGATTGACTTTGAATACATTACGAGTGGAGGAACCTGCTCACATGTCACGATCACTATTGTGCTGTAGTGGTCACTAGTACCGCGTACCTGCTGTACCTAATTGTCTTGTTGAAAGGTTCGCATTGTTTTCTTTTTTTACAATGCGCAAATAATGATGGTGGCACACTTTTGATGATAATAAGCCGGATCTGGTGGTAGAATTTATCATGCACGTTTTAACAAGAAAAACCTTTGAACCCTTCGCAGGACATATGCCAAAGGCATTATACTAAAACTATGACTACCGATAACAAAAAAGTTAAAGATGGTTAAATTTGTTAGAAAATTTGTTGTTTTACGCGTTAGTTAATCGATACTCTTAAGCCATAGTATTAGGAAGAATAAAAACTGTAACTGTTAGAGCGAGTTTAAGTAATGGCACTCCCGCCTACTTTGTCGTTCACGAAAGCGCGCATTTTGTAAAAAACATGCTCTCTGCCATTTGAATAAATATTAGAGAGATAGTTCTTTTTGAGCATATCAAACTGGCCATCATATTTCATTGTAAACTTAGCCACTTTTGATTTTGCGCATTTGTTCTTTTATACATGCAGCGGACACGTTTGTTAGCGCGCCATTATTTCCCGAAATGAATCATGGGTGCTTTCAAGTACCATAGTGCTTTGCGAGCAAGTTCTCGTTCTCGAAATCTTTCAAAATGGCGTCGCGTTCTTCAAGAAGAGTCGTCACTGACGAAATTGAAGATCAGGACCTTAGCAAGGTCGAGTTTGAAACTTCTGAAGATGTCAAAGTTATCCCTACCTTTGATGCTATGAATCTAAGAGACGATTTAATTCGTGGGATTTATGCATACGGTAAGTTTTCCTTCTTGAAGTTCAGCTCTTTCAAACACGTGAAAATAAGCTAAACTTGTGTGCAACTTTCCTGTTTTGTTCTTCGAAGTTTCTTCTCTTCTTGATTGTTATTTGAACTTATTTGTAGGTTTTGAAAAGCCTTCTGCCATTCAACAGCGAGCTATAAGACCTATAACAAAGGGACGCGATGTCATTGCACAGTAAGTTGTTAGTTGACTTGCTCTTAAGTCTTAGCTTTAACTCAGTTTTAAAGAATTACACATTCAATTATTGGTGTTCTTTTTCAGAGCACAGTCTGGAACAGGAAAAACAGCCACCTTTTCAATATCAACGCTGCAATCAATCGATACACAGGTATTCTGTTAAAGCAAATTGATATTTCTAAAAAAAAATTTCAAGAAACTTACCATACCTTTGTATAACACTTCAGCTTAGAGAGACTCAATGCCTTATCCTCTCACCAACTCGTGAACTTGCTGTACAGATTCAGAAGGTAAATTAAAAGAAAAAACTTGATAATCAGTTAATATAACTTTAGCGTAAAAGTACAACAGCACCAAGAGACCAAGAGAAGAGGTGTCTGTAAGGACGAAAGATTAATTATTTCCTATGTATGAATTACAGTGTTGTCCCATTAGTTTCCATGGATACATAAGGTGCAGACATTTCAGTTATCATATATAGAACATGTCAAGTTTCATATATTTAATATGCTTATAAAACTATACATGAATTCTGTGTTTTCATGAAGGTTATTTTGGCTCTTGGTGACTATATGAGTGTACAATGCCATGCATGCATTGGTGGGACAAACATTGGCGAAGACATTAGAAAACTTGACTATGGACAGCATGTAGTTTCAGGAACACCAGGCAGAGTTTTTGGTAAGTCAATAAATGATATTATTTACTATTACAAGAACATCTATCAGGAAGCTATTACCATAGTTCTCATAACAACACATTGATTTCAGATATGATCAGACGAAGACATCTCAGAACAAGATCAATTAAAATGTTGATTCTTGACGAATCAGATGAAATGCTGAATAAGGGATTCAAAGAACAGATTTATGATGTATATAGATACCTGCCTCCAGCAACTCAGGTATTGTGATCTTTCAGTTTTCAAGTAATGGGAAAAACTATTTATATGTTGGTTCTTCTTCCAATGCAAATACACTTGCAAGTAGAAGGGACACAAAATGTGCTTAAGAACATTGCACCGGACAATCCTCTCTATAGCCTGATTAATGGTACAAGAGTCAAGAGAGACACTCATTATAATTTAAGACCATCAGCCATGTTTCGATGTAGGAAAACTAACACAGACCGCTTTGGAAATTTCGTTTCATGTAAATTTTCTTGTTTAATGTAAATTAATTATTGTATGCACGGCTCCATGCTGACCGTGCCTGTAATTCAGGGATCCTGCGATAGGCACGAATAAACATATTATTATTATTATTATAATGACCTGCTATATCATACAGTTGATACATTTTGCTGGTGTATAAAATACTGATTATTTGTACAATACTGATTGATTATTCAACATTGGATTTGTTGGCTTAGGTTGTCTTGGTCAGTGCCACTCTCCCTCACGAAATACTGGAAATGACATCAAAATTCATGACAGACCCAATCAGGATCCTTGTAAAACGGTAATTCATAACAAGTCATTTGATAATCATTACTGACAACAAATATACTTTTTCCACTCATTTTCATCAAATGCTCACAAAGTTTGTTTAATTTGACAGTGATGAATTGACACTAGAAGGAATCAAGCAGTTCTTTGTAGCTGTAGAAAAAGAAGAATGGAAGTTTGACACACTTTGCGATTTGTACGACACACTTACCATCACACAGGCTGTTATCTTCTGCAACACAAAGAGAAAGGTAAAAAATAGAAATGTTTGAAGTTTGTTATTGCTATGTTAACAAAGAAGAAAATGCATGAAGCTCAGATGTTGGGATTCAAGATCTTAATGACATAGCGATTGACATTGTTTTTCATGATAGGTGGATTGGCTAACGGAAAAGATGAGAGAAGCAAACTTCACAGTTGCATCAATGCATGGTGACATGCCTCAGAAAGAAAGAGAAGCAATTATGAAAGACTTCAGAGCYGGACAAAGGTAGTTACAAACACTTAATGTCTTGTTTACTTTCAATGAACAACATCAATAACTGGTCATAAAAAGATTTTGATACATGTATGATGGTTTTTAATGTGTTTTTGTAAATTTTTTTCTAGTCGTGTGTTGATATCCACTGATGTGTGGGCCAGAGGTCTGGATGTCCAGCAAGTTTCTCTTGTCATTAACTATGACTTGCCAAACAATCGTGAATTGTACATTCATCGGTAGGATTTTTATAGTAACTACAATGCAACTATAGGCATTTTTATCTACACTGTAAAATTACCATTTGAATATCACCATTGATTTCTGCTTTTACTTTCTTGATAGTATTGGTCGATCTGGACGTTTTGGACGCAAAGGTGTGGCTATTAATTTTGTCAAGTCAGATGACATCAGAATCTTACGAGATATTGAGCAGTATTATAGTACACAAATTGATGAAATGCCAATGAATGGTAAGCAATTTTACAATGATTCAAGAAGTTAACAGTCCTATTTTCACTGTTGTTTAGAGAACATTGTTCATATTATAAGTTTAAGCATTAATTATAAGCATTAATTTTACTGTTTCATATTTCTTTACAGTGGCCGACTTGATTTAAAGAGCAAAGTCTACATACTTTCAACTGTGTATAAAACCTTCTGTTATGTATTTTTGTGAATTATAAAGGCATCTTTCAGAACACAAATCCTTCGCTTTTAGTGCTTGCTACATGTATTCTTACCATTGTTTTTATGAATTGTTTTATTACAGAAATTCCTTAGTCTTGTAGTGTAGGAATATATATTGTTTCTTGAGATATTTCATGTCATCATGTAAAGATAACCAACATATATTATTTAGTCACAAGTCAAGCAAGATTAGAATAGTACATGTACTTTTGTTAATTTTCATTTTGTTGAAAAAGGATTAAAACAGATCTGTCAGCACATATGGTCGCATTTGTTTGATTGAGGATTAATTAATATTAATGGAATTTGCATTGTATCATCATTTCTCTACAACTTCATACCAATATACTCAGTGGATTTTGATTATTCTGATTTTTACCAGTTCTTTTGATCCCTGCTATCAGTTCCTTACAAGAGGCTTTGCTAGTAAGGAAGTTCTTTGGGTAATAGCAAAGGTTGTAATTGTAGTTTTGCTTGTGAGTTGGGCTTCAAATATTGATGGTAAAAGACCCAGCAGGGCAAGTGATAACATACTGTAGTGTGTTGTATACATTTTAATAATGACACTGCATTACTACATTTAAAAGTACACAAAGAACTATTCAACTTCAGCACTTGACAACACTGCATACCATATTTACAGATATATTTACATTAAAAACAACAATTAATTAGTTAATCATCCTCGTCTTCGTCCTCTTCTTCCTCATCTTCCATTTCCTGGTTCTCTAATGCTTCTAGTTGTGCAGCTTTGAGCGCTTTTTCCTCCTCAACACTTGGGTCATCAACCTCCGTTATTTCTGGTCCACTTGGGTACTCTTCTTGGGGTGCTGGTGGTGGTGGAGGACTGTAATTCTCAGCCATGTACTTTTGCCCATAACCAATGTAAACATTTTCAAATTTTCTGAGAAGATAACAAACATACAAAAATCAAGAAATGGGCATTTGTTAGTCTGTGACATAGGAATGGAACAAGCAACTGTAGATGAAATGGCTATATTCATTTAAAATCATGGACACATCTCCATGTAAACCTAAATGACATATAATTTTACCTATCGAGGGCAAAGGCATGTGCACCAGGCCAAAGATTGGAGTGTATTATTGCAATCGAATATTGAGGTACAAGAGTTGATGACTTGTTTGCTGTCCATGGTGGCATATTATCAACCTCTGAAAGACCAACAAATAAATATATTATAGCAATGACCTGTGTTTGTAAACAGACAGATCATGTTCTCAACCGCATAAAGGTATAACAACATACCATTATCCTCTGACAGTGGAGTCAGCAATGGAGGACCTGTTTCTGGCTCAGGTTCATCTGGTTCTTCTCTTTCCTCGTCTTCCTCTTCTTCTTCTAACTCTTCCTCTTCTTTCTTGATTAATGGATTGTACCATGAGCATCGACCCTATTAAAACAGCAGTAATACATCAAGCTTTTAATGTTAATTATTGACTCTTATATACCAGGTATATAATGTACCTGAGGAAGGACATACTGTACATGATGTACCCAGTTTGCACAGGAGGGCTCCACTAACTCATTAACTGACAGTCCCTCAAATTCTTGATTGACGACAAATGATTCTCGTACTGAAATATGAACAAACATTAATATTACAGCAACTGCAAAACAACCTATTCAATGGTACAGCATGCAGCAGTCTCTAAGACTGTCTACAAATGAAAATGCAATGATTATTTTCAGTATTGCTTCAGCATTTATGTTCGAACTGAGGTACAATTTTATGGCTGAGCAAGAACTTGTTTCTTTGACCAAATAAATTTCTGTTACAATTAATAAAATAAATAAGATCCTGGTCACAATTACCTGCTCCTTCATCTTCATCCTCTTCTTCTTCTTCAAACATATAATAATTCAAAGGACTAACATGTGTGGTGGCCGAAATTCTGGCAATTTGTGCTCTTAGATACTCTGCTTCATTTCCTGGAAATGGTGGATAGCTAATAACCTACAATAAAACATTACAATGAGTTTCTTGACTGCGCAATGACTGCCATGAAGCAGGAGTTAAATTTCAGGGAAAGGTTAATAAACTTATCACTTCTTTTAACTTACAGGAGCATCTAGACTTCCAGTAAAGAATTTTTTGATTTGTCGAGCTACAACAATTTGTGCAGGAGTGACTTGTGGAAGTCTAGTCCAAGACTTTCCAGCCTCATTACACACAAAATATGCTTTCTTGTTACAACCAACTCTGTTTTCCTCTGTTGGGATTATTGGAGGAGGCTTGAAGTCTGTTCTTGGGACATCATCTTCTTCAACATCAAAATCCCCTGTGAATGAAGAAGAATTAGTATCATAAGCAGTGCCATATTGTACATCATCAAATCATCACTAAGACAGCTGTCGATAATCATCATTTAAAGCCATAATCATCATTTATCATTACCTTCTTTGATAATATCTGGGGCTCCATCCTGGTTCTTTTCCTAAAAATCAAATATAATCAATTAGGGAGAGCAATTTTGATAACAGCAAATACTTTATATTTTATTTACATCTCTTTCTTTTTCCCCTTCAGCATTTTCTTTGTCTTCTTCTATATCCAAAGGGTCTTCTCCCTCATGAAACTCTACTTCAGCAACGATGTAATTTTCCTGAAGCCCAAAGATCTTTCCTAAGAAAACAAGTAATAGTATGTTTGAGAAGATTAACAAAATTAAGTAAACATTCATAAAATATCATGTTATTTATTGTATAAAATGTTTTTGAGAGACAGGTAAGATTCTTTTAACCTCTGATTGAACACTGGCACAAGTACTTTCTACAGCTTAAAAAATAACCAATAATAATCAAAGCGTTCTCGCATCTTTATACAAAATATAAATGCGTCTTTATATCAAAATACTGCCTGGAACTACCATGTTTGTCTTATCCAAAACAATATGACTTAATCAAACTTACCCCAGAAACGACAAGTTCTTATAGGATTACTATCCACTAACTGTTTCAAAGCCAAAAATATTCTAAATGTTTCTTCTCTACTCAATCCCACTCCGGCCAGTTCAAAGTAGTTTGCAAGCTCCATCAAATCTGGCAATGGACTTTCTTGTTCCTCTTCAAGCTCTGGCTCAGGGTCCAAAAGCATTGGGTCTGGCTTTTGCTGAAGTTAGAGTATTATTATTTGAGTAAAAAATACACTTTATCATTTATGTACTCATGAAGCTAATATACCTCAAATAAGACCTGCTGTGTCCGAGCAAGTAGAACCTCAGTCGAATCATCTTGCTGGTCCTAATATATAATGATAAGAGTATTTTTAAGTAGCACTACAATATACAATAAGTTAATGCAAAATGGAAACCAAAATGTACCTGTATTGTATCAAATGATGGTTTGAAAGYTGATCTTTTGTTGTCTCTTACAAGGTCATCTATTAATTCTGAAAGAAAGTTTTTAATGGAATTAATTCCATGTCCAAGGGGAAACAAATTTTCATGAAGGAAATTAGAATAGTGTTCTAAGTTTGTTCACTTCTGAAAACACGACAATGTAACCTTATTTGATGGCAAAACGTACCTGTAGCATTTTCTGGCTTTTCTTTTAAAAGTTTTGTTAAAATATCAGATAAACTGTCAAATCTGAAGAAGAGAAAAATAAACATTTATGAGAATACAACCTTTAAATCGTTCAAAAAAAGAAATTCAACTCCAAGTGATCTGGCATCTAGTTGTAAGCTTACACATTGAGATTCGAATGAGTGCTTGTTTTCAGCAGATAAGCCTTAGCATTGTGGAATTCTGTCTCCAACTCTTCCTGTGTTATTTCTACTGACGATTCAGACATGTTTGCAAAGATTCCAATAACAATTTCACTTTAGAAATCCCGATTTCTACATCGTCTTGTCCAAAATACAACCTCGTTTGTCCTCACTATGGCAACAAACATGGAGAAGCAGTAAACCAATCGATAATTTGACGGAAAAGTCAATAATAATTCGTAATTTAAACTCAATGATGATTGGTTCATTAGAATGCTCGATACTATTTCGTAAATTCGTTATTGATCGGAATCAATTCGTCAAAAGTTCGTAGGTAAATTTTGGGAATATTTTCTTCGAACAAGATTGCATTTTCGGCGAGTTTTCTAACTGCAAATATGTTGATCTTTTCTTTAGCCTTCCTAATCAGCACAAGGGGATTTGTTTAGCGAAACGAAATGCCTTTCCGATTGCTAAGAAAAAAGGACAAGGCAAAAATTAAAAGCACAAAAGAAAGACTAGTTCATGGAAAGTACACGAAACGAGAAGACTCGACCGAGATCTTGCAAGGTATGTAACACAGTCTGATCTCTCAATGTGAATATCAACATCTTCATTTGTACCAATATCGCGATAAATGAGAGTGATAAGAATTTCTCTGTTCCACTATGTAGGTATAATTACATATTTCCTTACTTTTATGGTACACAGTTAAAAAACGTTCCGTCTGAGGTGACCAGTACATATACAAAGTCTGGTTTGTTGTTAATACGTTGAACGTTTGTAAATTTTCATTTTAGTTTTCATTGAATCTTGAAATATTGTTTTATTATAGGTCAGGCTGAAAATCTAAACATATTTCCCGCCTGCAATAATGTTTCAACTTTTATCCCCTTCATACTTTAGAACTTTTCATTTGTAAACAAATTATAAATTTGAATATAAATGGCGCGTAGTATGGAAATGAAGTAAACATTTGAATTTTATTCACTTCAATTTCAGAGAAACTCAAGAAAAGTGTATCTTCTCCAAATCTTCCTGCAGAATTCAATGTCTCAACTAGCATTTTACCAAATGCTTCTGCACTTTGCCACAGCAATGACGATGCAACACATCAGAATGCAGGGATATTGATGCTTGGACATGGGCAGGCATTACATATAAATAATGAAATTCAAACTCAAGCAGGGGTTTCTACTGATAATTCATACCATTATGAAAGAAATCATATGACAGATACTTCCAGACAGAACATGGTAGCTGAATCATGTGAATCTTGCAACAAGATCCAAGGAGGAGGCTCAGGCCATGGGCACCTGAATGCCATTGAACAAGGATATCGACATCCACCTTCTTATGCTGAACTAATTCAACAAAAACCTAAGCCACCACTAGATAAATATAGACATCCTCCTCCATACAGAGAGACTAGAGATGCTCACCTTTCTTTCAATGATTTATATTCTGGAGGAATTTCCTCGGATCAACGCAATGACTTAATTTATAGACTTATGACAAATAAAAACAGTGGTATGAACAATTCAGTGTATGATGGTTATTCTCAGTCGCAGCCATGTTTGCCAAGCACTTCATTTGCCAGGGATAACAAAGGCGTTAAAGTGGATAAGGAAACAATGACTGATTCATACCTGTATCCTGAAGGCAAAAGTCCAGATAGTATAAATGGTTATAGTTTGTACACAAGCCATGCAACAGTAATGACAGACCCTTATGCCTATAACCAAGGATATCTTTTAGAAGATGATGGTGTTATTTCCTTCCCTGAGCAAAGTCATAGTGTAGTATCAAATGATTTATATGGTGCAAGTGGCAGATCTATAACTACTAGTTGTCCATCATTTTACAATCGAAATGATATTGCTGAGCATGGGAGCAATAATAGCTGTATAAGTTTTCCTGTATTTCAGCAAGGTATATAAGGGAATRATTATTTTATTATATGAACTTGTCAACAAAAGTATAGGGCACAGAAGAACGTAACATAGAACAGAGCTTATGTTTAAGATACGAATAATATTTCAGCAAGGTATGGCGTCCAACAAGAAAACCTTTTTGAGTTGGGTTCCTCAACAATCCATGTGTCTATCATTTCTTTGTTTTCTCATTCAGTCATTTTTTATGCATTCCTTCTTTTACTTCTACCCTTTTGCTTTTTTCTTATATCTTTAACATTTCTTCTATTCTATCATGTTCTTCTTGAAATGATCATTGTGATTTTCAGGGGGAGTTATTCCAGGAAATGAATTGGACAATATCCTTCCACCAGGATGGGAAGTAGCTGTCTCCCCAGATGGCAGGAAATACTATATTGAGTAAGAAATATATAAAAACCTCTCCTTTACTTCTAAGAAAAAAGCCTTGATAGCTCTCCTTAAAGAAGCAGAAATTTGTTTGCAAAGAGAACTAGGTTCAGTGTTAGATGTCCTCAGTAAATTACACAATATTTTTTGTGATTTAGATTAACAGAAAAGGAAATATTCAACGAAAGGAACTGTAACTAAATTATAACTAACAATTATTTTTTCCCTAGCCATCACACTAAAACAACTGTATGGAGACACCCAATTCACAATGAAGGTAAACCTAACCTTGTGAAACTGTCTTGTCGTTATCTTATGTTAGTATGTGCTTATTTGTTTGTTTTGATTTACAGATCTTCCTGAAGGGTGGGAGAGAGTTGAATTACAGCAATATGGAATGTGTTATTTCAAGTAAGTAATGCTATCATTGCATCTTTGCCAAAACCTGACACTCAATATGAAACTGCACTAGAAATAGATATTTTTAATATTTGGGTCAAAAACGTCTGAGTTATTGCCATAAGTTCTTACTAGAGAATCATATTAAACTATTTTGTATTAAAATATTGAATAGCAAGTAATAAAAGAAATGATTTTATAGTCACCAAAAGAATATAGCACAACATGAACACCCAGGACAARCTGAATACATCAAGCGCTACAAACAAGAACAACACTTGAGCCTTCAACCAGAAAGTAAACAAGTTTACATCCAGGATGAATTATCACATAATGCATTTARCACTGGAGGTATGGATAATTTATGGAAAAGTTTAATCTCTGTTTTACATGTCCAGTTCTGACAATTTCCAGTATCTGCATTGGCTGGCTGTACCTTGAAATTGTTTCATCTTTCTTTCACGTAAATTTATCTCTCATTTTGTTCAGAAATCCCAACATGGTTGATGATCTATGCCCATGCTTCCCCAGAGCACGATGGTTTTCTCAAGGTAAAATTCATTGTTGTACTAATAATATATATGATTTTATAATCATCTTTTTTCTCTGCTTGCCAGTGGGAGCTATTCCGATACAGCGAGTTGGACTGTTGGCAGACCATAATGAAGAGACTTTTCAAGAAAGAAGTTGAACAGATAGTCATGAGATACGAAGAATATCGACAAGCGTTACAAAGAGAGATTGAAAGAAGGCAAAAGCAGCAAAAAAGACTTAGCTCTCAAGCTTTGGCCGACTTGGAAAAGGAAAGCGATGTCTGAAAACCTACAAACTTGATAATTAAATCAACACAGAGTTTTGTAGTACAACGCTGAACATGGATGAAGTATTTAGTCTTTCTTTTTCGGTAAATTGTTTTCGTCTTCTTATTGTCTCTATTGAACTAAAAAAACCCAGTCATTTAATATGCTTAAGCTGAATTCCTATAATAGACCTCGAGGTTATTTGAAGTAGGGAAAACTATTTAAAGAAAAAATGTAGAAAATATGGGAACCTCCTCAAGTGCGTTTCATRTAAGGGARTAATTATTTTATTATGAACTYGTCGACAAAAGTATAGGGCACAGAAGAACGTAACATAGAACAGAGCTTATGTCTAAGATAAAAATAATAAAAATACCTGAAAAGTAAACGTAATTTTCTACTTAATGTGCTGTCAGTGACTTTACAATTGTTGTTTTTACTTGTCTGACGACAAAATGGTAGTGGGATAGTAGGAAAATGTTACGATAGAAATTCTATGTAGTTTTTTCCTCTTTTATTTACAGTGATTGGCATGCATGCTAGCCTTGACAAGATCTCCAGTATGTGTAGGTTATACGGRATGTCTTTCTTTGGTTTTTAAGTTGTTCCTGTAAGTTTTACTGAGCTTTGTCTGGTATCGTTCATAAAGTGATTTCTAGCTTCAGCCTGCGCTCCTAGATCGATAAACGGTGCTGTCACACGTCTTCAGTATCGCTTCAAGTTTAGATTGGAACTGTTGATTCCAATGTTGGTAGATTTTTACGTGTCTAACAGTTTGTGAATTGGTAGGCATTCTTGCTAATACAAAGTAAGCTTTTCCTTGCTCCAGTGAAACTCGACGATGACGTAGATGTTTGACAGGGATTGGGATGGTGTCATTTGTTTGAAGCGTACTGCCTTTGAAGACTTGTGTGATAAAAATCGTCTTTGAAGATGAAGCAATCCCTGCGAATGCTAATGGAGAGATTGGATAAATGGTAATGATGACAATGATAGTGATGATTCAAGTAATGAAATAATTGATGATACTAGACTAGAATATGGGTATATTGAACGYCATCTTGGGCATCATAGGGATAGAGCACCATTTGGGAAGCRAAACAATGGATTTAGTTTTATTTTCCCAGATGGCACTGCTTTGACGTCATATGCAAGGGCGTGTCCCACCCATATCCCATGTTTCTTACCAATATTATTTTGCTCGTTGCATAGCTTTTCCGTCAATCGATTCTTCAACATAATCTGCTTCTTTTTGCAACGAAACAACCTCCTGTCATATATTCTACCATGACAACACTTGATGGAAGACTKGATTTTGTATACCTCTCCAYCACAGCAACCAAATTTCACGCTGTATGCTCGTCCACTACAGCAAATGTTAGATTTATGATAGACATTGTTTGCACAGCATATTGAATTTCGCATGTCATAGTAGCTTACATTACAGCACTTATGATGCACAGCCTTCACATKTAGTGTACCTCCACAGCAAACCTGTGTGACGTCATCGTAATACCGATGACCGCAAAGGATCTTGGACATCACTTTTCCATCCCGACAAGTTTGTCTTGTATCGTTGTATGCCAATATCTTACAGCATTTGTTGCCGTACTTTTCTTTTGGATAAACGTTTCGTCCACAGCAAATCTCTTTACTGGAATTATAGATATTTTTCCCACAACAAGAGCCTATTTGTTGTCTGTAAATTCTTCCTCTGCAACAGGTGTTTTTATAAGGATTGAATGATATCCTTCCACAGCAACTTTTTCCAYCGTGACTGCTCACTGACAAGCTTTCGTGACAACAGGAGTGATTGCGTGACGGATCAAAAGGACGATGCCCACAGCATTTTATCTATTTAGTAATACGAAAAACGTATTAGTTATGACCTATTTCTTGTCATTTGAACTTTCTTGTTATTACCTTTTTGCTTTTCTTTGGAAAAATTATGTTCTTACAGCATATTTGATTCTTGTCGTTATACCCAATCCCTGCACAGCATTTCCCTTGACCCACTTCGGTCCCAGGCGTAGGGTGGAYCACGCCCTTACAACACGTGTACCCTGCTGARTGAACTTTCCCCTGGCAGCACGCATGCGTAGATGAGTTATATCCACTTCTACCGCARCAAGCCGTCGCTTCTTGTTTACTGACGAGGTTTCCATTACAGCATAACAACGAATCGGTATGAGGTTTCTCTCSACAACATTTGATGTTTCCTTAACAAAAATTGAGAAAAAAATCAATATAACACATTAGAAACCATTGAAGCTCAACTATGTTTTTGCAATCGCCTTTTGATCGAAAATGATGGWATTACAGACCGTCCATGAATGTATATCAAGGAGACAAGAAGGAGCATGAAAATAATTTGTAAATAACGTATGGCTAAAGAAAACACGCAAGTCTAACGAACGTGAGCGCGCCAACAGAATATTGGTACCACTAATGTAAGCTGATTAGTATTTATATCATACTCACCTACAGCATTTCCAGGCATTGCCTTCACTTTCCCTYGACAACATGCCAATTTCCTGGAATCATACTCGGCCATTTTGGAACCACAGTACTTCACATGAGATGCAGAACGCTTGGAAATGTCACCAGTAACTACGTCACACTTTTGCTGGAGGGCATTGAATGGCCTTGATCTACAACACTGAGGTAACTCGAGTCCAGGGGAAAGTGGTGCGAGTCGTTTATCACAGCAAATCCACAA